TGTTTTTTATGAGCACTGAAAACATTAAAATGAGCACCACATCCAAGTGTGATAGGGCTCATTTGAGTAGCCTACCAAACATTTTACAGTGTAGATACTCTGTAAGAACCAGATCAAAATTGTTGTGCATTGAATGTGCACTCCTGCAATTTCCATGTTACAAAAAAGAATCGTTCAATTAGTCGTTAGATTAGTCGACTAATCGATAAAATAATCGACAGACTAATCGTTTAATTAATAATCGTTTACCCCAGCCCTACTAAATAAAGATGTGTAGATCGCGGAGTGACATGACATGCTGCTTGGCTAAAGCTATAGGACTTCCGGAATCTGATCGTGTCGCGATCATGACAGTGTTTTCCAACGTTGTTTGAAAGTTCAACCAATGGAAACTGGATCACTGGTGTAGTGGGTAGAGACCAATCGACATTGTTTTACAGCTGGAGCATGCTTGGATTTTTTTGATCACTCAGATTGGCAGTTCTTGATTAAGCATGCGCAATAGAATAGGAGCGCACAGCTGAAACCACGCTGGAAGATCATGGCTCATCAACCAGGATCTTATTACTTTTGTAAATGCCACAATAAAAGTACATATAATAAACAATACCAAAGGAATAGTAAGGAAATTTACCAATTAACAGGTTTTTACCGTAGCTTTTTTTTTTTACAGTATTTCTTGTTTAAAATTACAAAAAAAAATTTAGTGTACAAATTGCTTATGGTCCACCCTTCTTATTTTGAAGGGATAGGAGAAAGTATTTAAACATCTAAGATGACATGCTTTAAATTTGATTCTGACTTTCTTGTGTTGATGTTTAATTCTGATTTCTTGCCCTCTTTGTCCTTTTCTGCTTTTAGATTGAGATCAGCCGGAGAGTGACTCTTGAAGAGCTTCCTCCAGTGCTGGTGCTTCACCTCAAAAGATTTGTCTTTGAGAAGACCGGTGGATGTCAAAAACTGGTCAAGAATATTGATTACCCTGTTGATCTGGAGATCAGTAAAGGTGCTCATTTCATTTTTCTTTTTATCCACTGAAACACTCCGCTGATATCACATTGTTTTTAGGAGGTTTCACCAACTAGTCAGTTAGTTGGTGATTTGCATGATTTCAGTTGCACTTGTTCTGTACCAGGTGACACCAGGAGGAAAATTCCTGTTTTCTGCCAACTGCATCCCACTGGAACTGCCTGTCATTTTATCGGTTTAGTAACTTGTATTCAACTAAATATATTAATATAAATATATATTCGAATTATGCTAAAGTAAATTGTTTACAAAGCATGTTATAGGCTAACTGTGCCATGCCCATCTGAAATGGTCTTTGTTCATTCAGAGCAGCTCGTATTTCTTTGGAGTCTCTATCCTCCACACGCTTTCATAATTTTGTGCACATGTACTATACAGGTCTAGTCTATTGTCTTCCTTATTTTCACATCACAAACCTCTATTTTAATGGATTGTTCCAAGTTGGCAAGTTATTACTGTGAAAAGAGTGTTTTTTCTGCATGTGCTCTCAATTCTGCTCCTGACAAAGAGACCAGGTTCCCGCACTAAAAATGAACCTGAGCAAAATAAACGAGCGCTAACGAGGGAGTAGCATAAAGACTTCTCTATTGTGAATGGTTTCCTGCTTATGAAAGTAGGTGACATGTCAGTCACTAAATGCCAGTCTGCATCTGGACGCTATTCAGATCAGTATTCTACATTAACTTTCTTAATGATTTTCTTTTTTTTTATGCTTGTTCTCAGAACTGGCAAAATGGATCATCTTAATATTTGAAGTTGGCCATCTGTAAATATGCTGCTGTATGTTAAAATGGTTCATGATTTTCAGATCTCTTGTCACCGGGGGTGCGGGGCAAAACTTTTAAAGGCCAAAGAACCTACAGGCTCTTTGCAGGTATGTTTTGTTTTTTATTCCTTTGTCTATATACAAACTGGTATCTCTTACCATATTTCAATGCATTGTCATAATAAAAAAAACAAATTGGTTTGTAGTGCAAGTAGATTTACTGTTTAATGCACTTATTACTAGTTATTTACCTATAGGCATTAGTGACGGTTATTATATAACAAGATATATAGCAAGACCCCATTTCGCTTGGCTGTGTGCTCGGCTTTTTGTAACAGCGCGCGCGGCGCTGCGTCCGAGGATGACCGACTTCAAGCCGAATCTGCCCGAGCATGCACGTCTCACCGCACCGGCACGCATAACCGTCATCACCAATTCTGAAACCGGCACACCCCTAATAGGCACTAATGAATTGGAAATAACATTCACATAAAATAGCTTCCACATTGCAAAATAAGGTGGATACAGCGTGGTGTAACATTTCCTTGCCAGTGATTTGTCATTTGAACCATTTCCACAGTTAGGGTTATTTTGGCTTCCAACAAGCTGTCAAGACGTACACCTCTGTCCTTCTAGCACCTTCCTATTGCTGACTAGTTAGGCCTTGTCTCTTTTGACTGCCCCCACACGTGACTCACTGACCTGTTTAAACACACATGGCCTTCCTTTGCGGGAGATGTTCACCTTTTTTCCCCGCCTCCAAGAGTGAATTGCTTTCAGGTGTTTATTTTCCTTTCTAAAGCCTGTCCAGTAACCCCTAGCATCAGTTGCCATACCAATACATTTCCATCAAGCCTCTATTTTGACTATTTTCCCCATGTTTGAACATCTGGTATGGGTGGAAAATAGACATTGGCTCTAAACTTCATTTAATTGCCACTGATATAGCACACAAGATATTTCACCTTTCCTTACAGTTTACCAAACTTTACTGGCAGCCAAGCCTTTACTGCAATAAAGTGCATGTGTCCTATCAAGACTGTATTCTACCGCTTTTACTGTACGATAAATGTTAAAGGGCCATTGATACCATGTAGTTCTTGCTGTAGTTTATACTCTCTATGTAGAGGTTTAAATCTAAATCTGTCTTAAGGTTGTTTCAATCTGATTTTATTATAAAAAGCCAATATATGCACACCAGTTGAAATGCTGGAGGTTATGACATTGTTTGACTACTGTAAATGGCTGAACTCCATGTTTTGGACTCATCCAGCACTGAATTTTCACATAGCTGCACAAAAATGTCTACCACGGTATAAAAGGGGCAGCAAAGTCTAATGGTTGAAATTTGAATGGAAATGAATGTTGTACATACTAAATCCTTTGTATCTTCCCGCAGTCGTCTATCACCATGGGAACAGTGCCACGGGTGGCCACTACACTACAGATGTCTTCCACATCGGTCTGAACGGCTGGCTGCGCATTGATGACCAGGCGGTGAAGATCATCAATCAGCATCAGGTGGTGAAGCAGACTGCAGAGCGCACTGCCTACCTGCTGTACTACCGGCGTCTGGACCTGCTGTAGAAACCATACTTGTACAACACAAACACACACACACATTCAAACATACGTTTACATGCAGACATGCACATACACACACACACACTCACACACCCACACACGTGTCTCGACAGGAACACTGCCCAACTTCACGATTGTCCTCCCTTCCTTAACCCTGCTATTCCAGAGAGCCAGCTTTTCCAACTTTTTCTTTCTTTCTTTTTTGGAAGAGGAAAAGACATGAGACGTATCTAAAGACTTTCCTGTAATAGTGTTTTGCCCCTTCGCACACGGCCTTGCTTGGGTCTGGAGAAGTTGAGGGGAGAAATGTTAGCACTGCAGAGCGCTCCAGTTCGGAGAAACAGACCTGAATCACTGCTTATGTTCACAGCCTCATCTTGTCTGGCCAGAGTGGATCCCCGTGGAAAGAACTCAAACCAGTTGAGGCTGATGGACTGCTGGAGAAAATCGTTCTTTTTCTTTTGTTTAATCTACTTTTTTAAAATGGCATAGAAGAAAAAAATGAAGTGTTTTGCCTTTTAGCAAGGAGAGTTGTCAGCCTAATTTGCAGCAGTTAAGTGGAGCCTGTTAAATTCTTGACTAGAGCATCAAAGTGGCCCTACACCAGCAAGCTACCAAAATTTGTGTAGATCTCAATGTAGGAGTTTGTCAACAAGCAAGACACTCAACTCCACCACCACCACCACAACAACCTCTTCTCTCCCCTATTTCTCTCAATCCTGATGCTTCAGATTACACTCGAGTCATTGGGGGAAAAAAGATAGCGGGAAGGTGCTGCTGTGTGCTGAAATGGTAAAAAGCAAAACAAGAAAAAAAGAAAAAAAAACTAAAATTGGCTTTGTTTGACCTTCAGTGTTTTGGGTGTAGGTTAGAATGACTATCTTACAATTTTAATGCGCTTTAGGATATAAATGATTACAAAAGCTTTGTGCACGTTAAAATATAAAACTGGTCGATTAAAATGCGGATGTGCGTCGTTTGCACATTTCTTGCAGATATTTAAGTTTTAAAAGTATTAAAAACGCAGAAATTTGAATATTGGCGGCGGTTACCTTGATCAGCTCCCTGGGGGAATTGCTCTTGTTCTTTAGGCTTTGTGTAGTTTCACACATTCATGCTGGCGAGATACAAATGATGTCCGAGACTCCATCATGAACATTGCCTCGCATTTATTTTTGTCCCCTCTCGGCATCCTTCATTAGTTCTGTTTGATCTTTTCCTGTATCATATGAATAAAGTGTATCCACTGTCCACTGACTGCCTTTTGATGTCAGTAGAGCAGCAAGTACTGAGCCACTCCTGCCAAGTTTGAGAGGGAGCTGTGTTGAGATACATCTGGTTTGCATCTCATTCTGTATGTTAGCCCGCTCGGAGCAGTCAGCCTGCGATGTGCATGTTGAGGCTCCGTGTGCAGTTCTGAGGATATCATCTCAGAATGGGTAGCAAGAAGTGTCTCTTACTGCAGTTAATTCGCGGTGTTGCTACGAGGTGAGATCAGCTCTGCCTGATGAAGCCTGAAGTGCAACAGTAGATGTGCACAAACAACAAATCATGTTTGCGTCTGTTTCATAGACCTTGCATCATCAATATTATACCTGATTGTATTTAGTTGAATTTTGAGTTGTTTTTTCTTCATTCCCCATTTGCATACAATTTTTTTTGTTCCATTTAAATTGACATTTTGAAAGGAAATTACCCAAGGTTAAAGCACAACAATGAATAAAGTTATACAAGTACTATGCTCGACCTTATTTCATTTGGACTTTTTTTTTGCTTTTTTTGCTTTTTTTTTTTTTTGATCAACTTTCTTTTCTGTCCTCCACAAAAATAAAAGTACCACTGACATGAACATTTATATGTATTTAATAACTACCAGTAAAAAGAATCTAATTGCCTAGTCCCAGACAGGATATGCAGACTTTTTGCATTTTTCTGCACTGATTTTGCAGGGAAAGCTGATGTAAATGGAGCTGAGAGTACTATAAACTTTGTTGGTAGCTGAAAGAATCAACAAATGAGTTAAATTGTAAAATAAAAGTGGTTTGAATGAGGAGTGTTTGAAATCTAAAGAAATCTCTGCACACATTCTTTGTGGGCCTGTTACTGAATATACCTCTAATAATGATAACAACAAAAAACTTTCTGGGAATGTTTCAGGCTTACCACTTGGTATATCCAAACTTTTTACACAAGCGATTAGGTGCATTGCAGCCCCCACAAATGCACTTTGTTGTTGGCGATTGTTGAAAGTGAACACGTCGCTTCCAGGAACAGATCCTTTGAGTTGAGCTCTTCACACAGTCCTGCCTCTGACCACAGGTTAGGCTGGTGTGAACTCATCTTTCCACTCTAGAAATGCAGTGTGTGAATTTCACATACATCTGAATGAGCTTATTTTATCCCTGCAGTCAGATTCTTCCTTCAAATCCATGTAATCCAAGTCTCTGGTCATTTCATTTACAGTCTTTTGGATTTAATTGTGTACATACGAGGTTGGCGTTTTTCGATTGCGGGATTACTGTTGCCAAGTCATGTTTTACCATGTGCCCCTTTGAACTTCTTGAATTTGGTTTATTTGAATCTGCAGCAGGACACAAGGAATGCATTCCCCACGAAAAACCAAAGGATACAGAACTCGTATAAACAGATACTGTTGCTTCATGATTGCTAGAAGATAAAAATGTACTATTTAAGTTTTTCCCCCAACTTTCCAAACTTGGATGTCGTCTTGTGCACCATTCAAGAACTTGACTTGATTTCAGCTGACTCATCATCAGGAGGAGCTTTTGGAAAAATCACCATTGTTCCTGAGACAGTGTCTACACCAGATGCGAGCGATATGACAAAAGCAAATAGAAACCAATTTAATCAGTGATTCTGTGTACTCGATGTGATGACGAATTCCTGACAGTTACCTGATGCCCCATTCCATTTCTGATATACTACGTGCTTGCGCTACTTTTGACACCAAGAACAAAATTATTTGCAATGGTCTCTTTGTTGCATCCTGTGTAGACCGCCTCAAGCTGTTGGAGCGCGGGTCGACAGGTGTGTGTCCGGTGTAGGCACGGTGTGAGTGTTGGTTAAAATATGTTGAAGTCTATTTAGTCATATTTGATGCACTCACTCATTGTGTCTTGTTTGTTTCTCTTGTCTGTTTCAAGGTGGAAATCTGGTTTCATGTAAAAGTTCATGCCTTGAGATGGTCAACTTTTCTCTTCTTTCAGTATGTCGGTCTGGGGAAGTCCTGGTGTATAGTTTAAATGATGTTTGTCTTTTCAGTTTGTGCTTCCTAAACCTTGTGTCTTCTGAGATCTTGATGCATTGGCAAATTGAGCTAAATACAAACTATATGCTGTCTCATCCTTGACCTTCAGCCTTTGACTTTTTTTTCTTTTTTTTTTGTCAACCATTCAAATAAAAAAAATAGTGGCAAAGCTTTATTTCTTTAGCAGATAAATCTGAAGCCTTTCGAATGGGGCAGTTCAAACAACAGTCTTTTCCACGACATGTCACCCCTCTCCCGAGGAATGTGCAGAGTAACCACAAGCAAACAATAAAAATAAAGAGAAACTGATCCTTGCTATTCCTCCTTAGCATGCATTAACCTACTAACCAAAGTAGGCTGAATTTCAAAATGTCTTTTCTTTGTGTGTTGTTCAACATTTCTGCCATAGTTATGTTCTCAGGCTGACCGTTCTGCATGCTCTTGTGGCTCAGTTGGCTGCCTGCGGGTCCAGTGTGCTGTTTCTGCGATACGTGGCCTCGCTGTTTGACTTAAAGGCTGTCTCATCATTTAGGAGGCCGAAAGAGCTTCCCTTCCATTGTTATTAACACAGGTTTGGTTGTTGCTCACAAACATGCAATCACATGTTATTTTCTTTTGTTAATGTTATAATACATTTTAAGATTCGGTACGGGGGCGATGAGGTTTATGTGTGTTTACATATATATATATATAAATATACACTCACCGGCCACTTTATTAGGTACACCTGTCCAACTGCTCGTTAACACTTAATTTCTAAGCAGCCAATCACATGGCGGCAACTCAGTGCATGTAGACATGGTCAAGACAATCTCCTGCAGTTCAAACCGAGCATCAGTATGGGGAAGAAAGTTGATTTGAGTGACTTTGAACGTGGCATGATTGTTGGTGCCAGAAGGGCTGGTCTGAGTATTTCAGAAACTGCTAATCTACTGGGATTTTCACGCACAACCATCTCTAGGGTTTACAGAGAATGGTCCGAAAAAGAAAAAACATCCAGTGAGCGGCAGTTCTGTGGGCGGAAATGCCTTGTTGATGCCAGAGGTCAGAGGAGAATGGCCAGACTGGTTCGAGCTGATAGAAGGGCAACAGTGACTGAAATAACCACTCGTTACAACCGAGGTATGCAGCAAAGCATTTGTGAAGCCACAACACGCACAACCTTGAGGCGGATGGGCTACAACAGCAGAAGACTCCACCGGGTACCACTCATCTCCACTACAAATAGGAAAGGAGGCTACAATTTGCAAGAGCTCACCAAAATTGAACAGTTGAAGACTGGAAAAATGTTGCCTGGTCTGATGAGTCTCGATTTCTGTTGAGACATTCAGATGTTAGAGTCAGAATTTGGCGTAAACAGAATGAGATTCATGCCTTGTTACCACTGTGCAGGCTGGTGGTGGTGGTGTAATGGTGTGGGGGATGTTTTCCTGGCACACTTTAGGCCCCTTAGTGCCAATTGGGCATCGTTTAAATGCCACGGCCTACCTGAGCATTGTTTCTGACCATGTCCATCCCTTTATGGCCACCATGTACCCATCCTCTGATGGCTACTTCCACCATGTCACAAAGCTCTAATCATTTCAAATTGGTTTCTTGAACATGACAATGAGTTCACTGTACTAAAATGGCCTCCACAGTCACCAGATCTCAACCCAATAGAGCATCTTTGGGATGTGGTGGAACGGGAGATTCGCATCATGGATGTGCAGCCGACAAATCTGCGGCAACTGTGTGATGTCATCATGTCAATATGGACCAAACTCCCTGAGGAATGCTGCCAGCACCTTGTTGAATCTATGCCACGAAGAATTGAGGCAGTTCTGAAGGCAAAAGGGGGTCCAACCCGTTACTAGCATGGGGTACCTAATAAAGTGGCCGGTGAGTGTATATATATACAGGTCCTTTTCAAAAAATTTGCATATTGTGATAGTTCATTATTTTCCATAATATTATTATCAAAATTAAACTTTCATATATTTTAGATTCATTGCACACCAACTGAAATATTTCAGGTCTTTTATTGTTTTAATACTGATGATTTTGGCATACAGCTCATGAAAACCCAAAATTCCTGTCTAAAAAAATTAGCATATTTCATCCGACCAATAAAAGTGTTTTTAATACAAAAAAAAGTCAACCTTCAAATAATTGTTCAGTTATGCACTCAATAGTCAATACTTGGTCGGGAATACTTTTGCAGAAATGACTGCTTCAATGCGGCGTGGCATGGAGGCAATCAGCCTGCGGCACTGCTGAGGTGTTATGGAGGCCCAGGATGCTCCGATAGCGGCCTTAAGCTCATCCAGAGTGTTGGGTCTTGCGTCTCTCAACTTTCTCTTCACAATATCCCACAGATTCTCTATGGGGTTCAGGTCAGGAGAGTTGGCAGGCCAATTGAGCACAGTAATACCATGGTCAGTAAACCATTTACCAGTGGTTTTGGCACTGTGAGCAGGTGCCAGGTCGTGCTGAAAAATGAAATCATCTCCATAAAGCTTTTCAGCAGATGGAAGCATGAAGTGCTCCAGAATCTCCTGATAGCTAGCTGCATTGACTCTGCCCTTGATAAAACACAGTGCACCAACACCAGCAGCTGACATGGCACCCCAGACCATCACTGACTGTGGGTACTTGACACTGGACTTCAGGCATTTTGGCATTTCCTTCTCCCCAGTCTTCCTCCAGACTCTAACACCTTGATTTCTGAATGACATGCAAAACTGAGCAACAGTCCAGTGCTGCTTCTCTGTAGTCCAGGTCAGGCGCTTCTGCCGCTGTTTCTGGTTCAAAAGTGGCTTGACCTGGGGAATGCGGCACCTGTAGCCCATTTCCTGCACACGCCTGTGCACGGTGGCTCTGGATGTTTCTACTCCAGACTCAGTCCACTGCTTCCGCAGGTCCCCCAAGGTCTGGAATCGGTCCTTCTCCACAATCTTCCTCAGGGTCCGGTCACCTTCTCGTTGTGCAGCGTTTTTTGCCACACTTTTTCCTTCCCACAGACTTCCCACTGAGGTGCCTTGATACAGCACTCTGGGAACAGCCTATTTGTTCAGAAATTTCTTTCTGTCTTACCCTCTTGCTTGAGGGTGTCAATGATGGCCTTCTGGACAGCAGACAGGTTGGCAGTCTTACCCATGATTGCGGTTTTGAGTAATGAAACAGGCTGGGAGTTTTTAAAAGCCTCAGGAATCTTTTGCAGGTGTTTAGAATTAATTAGTTGATTCAGATGATTAGGTTAATAGCTTTTTTAGAGACCCTTTTCATGATATGCTAATTTTTTGAGACAGGAATTTTGGGTTTTCATGAGCTGTATGCCAAAATCATCAGTATTAAAACAATAAAAGACCTGAAATATTTCAGTTGGTGTGCAATGAATCTAAAATATATGAAAGTTTAATTTTTATCATTACATTATGGAAAATAATGAACTTTATCACAATATGCTATTTTTTTGAGAAGGACCTGTGTGTGTGTGTGTGTGTGTGTGTGTGTATATATATATATATATATATGTATATGTGTGTATGTATGTTTGTATACGTGTGTGTGTATATATTTATATGTATGTGCGTGTAAATTATATTATACATGTGTATAATATAAGGAAGGTAGGAGTAAAAATTATTTTATAGATGGCTCATACACAATCATGCAAAACATCTTAAAAATAACTGATTTATGTCTAATATTAATTATACATTTCCTAAAAATAACTGATTTGTATCTAGTTCAGTATTATATATTAATTACACATTTTCTATTTTATTTATTATAAATATTTAATAAAATAAGCAAACACACTCCTGTTCAAAACCTACGGGTTGGTAAGTTGTTTTTGAAAAACTTGGTTTCTCTCTTGCTCACCAAGGCTCCATTTATTTGATCAAATATACAGTAAAAACGGTAATATCGCGAAATATATGTGGTGTGGTCTTGTGGCTTTCAGACCAGAAATGAAAGCTGATGCTCTGTTTTTTTCAGTCATCTCTGGTCATATGTAAATTGCGCGAGCTTATTTTCATTAAGTCGAAAGATCGGAAAAAACCTATACATAAACCCTCCCCCTGTAGAAATCAGGACAGAAGTGGTTGAATGTGGACAAAAGACGGATTAAAACACTAGGTGTAAACGGGTAGCTATGTGTCTCCCTC